TATAATATAATTAAATTTCTTTAATTAATTAGGAATATAAGTTAAATATACACTCCCTCTGCTTAAAAATATAAGACATTTTTTGAGGAGTTAAATATTAAAAAATGTAAGGTATAAAAATTTTTAGTCTTTCGAGGTATAATTATTGTCATTTTTTCAAAAGTGTCCCTATTAATAATGACTTTATATTTATTGTAGAGTTTTTAATAGGGGTAAATATGAAAAGATAGAGTTAGTTGAAAAGTAAATAACTATTTTATTAGGGGTGAGATTCAGTTAAAAATACCTTATATTTTTAAATGGGGAGAGTATATTTTACTTGTGAAATAAAGTTGAACATTTAGCAACATTATATATAACTTTATTAGTATTTTAATTTTTAAAGCAATGTCGTATATGGTAATATGCATATTTAAAATTGATTTTAACTAAATCATCCAAATATCTTTAATTATGTCAAAATTAATTTCAGAAAAATAATATACAATATATAATCACATTATAATATAATCAATTATAACTAAAATTAATTATATTAATCAATTTTTTTATAATCAATTATATTCAACTAAATCCAAATGGCCCATAGAGTTTGGAAAAAAAACTGGGGATACTTGGATGACATTTACCTAATCACCGTCTTTTAGGACGAACTGAAGGAGGAAACCTTTGCCAGTCGCTTCATATTCTTTGTGCTTATTCTGAAGTTATGCTTTGAGGAACTTAATTCTTTTTCTTCTATGAGATTAAAAAGGAAATTATGGAAGCATACATAAAACCAACTTATCTCCTTGATTTAATGAGCCCTGGTGAGATAAAGTGATGAAGAAAGTAGAGAGAAGGAAGAGAAATATGTGATTAGAGAGCAAATCAAATTGCAAAAATCTCACTAATTACCAAAGGCATCACTCCTACAAAAGTGGAATTTAGTTGTGTACATGTAGTAACCTTTTCTTTTTTTTTGTTTAAAATAAAAGCTACAAAAAATAATTAGGTAGCTTTTATATAACAAAGCACTTTCTACTAAAAAAAGAATAACAAGGCACTACAACTACTTATTTTTCTTTAAATTGAAAATTTTTTATTCCCATACTTGTAATTAACCAACTTAAAATTTGTTAATGCTAAAATTACTTGTTGGAAATTTAGTTGAAAGCTATTATAAATCACTTTATTTGAGTTGGAAATTTTGTTGCCCCTAAACTTGTAGACTTGGTCACTAAACATGCCATTTTATTAAAATATTATTCTTAGAAGGATTAATGAGCAAAATGGACTATGAAATCTTGTTCGAAAAACATCCTGGATCCTAAACTCTTAAAATATGTAAAATAAATTTTAAACTTTTAAATTCATAACATATTAAATCATACCTTTATCTTTTTTGAACGTCGTTACTGTTTACCATAGGCCCCAGTTAAGTACTAATATGTCATTGTTAATTAGCACCACAGATACTAAACTATTATGTTAGTGGCGTTCTCGACTTTGAACTTTAAAATTTTAAGCAAATTACCCCCACTATTTATGTATAAAACGTTGATTATTATGTAAACCAAATTAGCCTTAGTGTGATTCACCTCGATGAATACATTGTTAGCCATGGCGAATGATCCATAATTTTGTGAAATAATTTTTTTGCTCTTTGTTGCAATGTTTTCCAAATAATTGTTATCACATACTTTCATATACTCTATAAGACTATAACTCTAATTTAGTCTTATTTTAAAAAATTTTTATTTATTTAATGATAAAAATTTGGAATCCCATTTGAAAAGAAGTTTAAATATCATAGGATTTTGCAGACAAATAGATATAAAAGCCGATAATTTTATTAAGGAATTTAAAACTCAAATTAATTGATTGATCAAAATTTCTAATATTAAAAATTTTCTCAAATGAAATTTCAAGTTTTCACCCTTAAATAAATAAACATTATTCAAAATAAGATTAAATAAAAGTTATAAAGTATACGAAAGTATGAGATATCAATCGTTTGGAAAATATTGCATAAAAAGGTAAAAAAATATCATTTCACAAAATTATGAGTCATTTGCCATAGTCAACGATGCATTTACTATGCGAACCACGTTGAGGTTAATTTAATTTACATAATAGTCAACGTTCTATATATAAATGGTGGGGATAATTTGCTCAAAATTTTAAATTTAGGGTCCAAAACTGCTAACATAATAGTTAGGCTCTGTGATGCCAATTAATAATGACATGTCAGCATATAACTGGGCCCATGATGAACAGTGATGTCGTTAAAAAAGATGACAATAGGATTTAATTTGCTACAAATTTAAAAGTGTAGGATTTATTTTACACATTTTAAGAGTTCAGGATTCAAAGCGTTTTTTTGAGTAAGAGTTCAAATTTATTTTGCTCATTAACCCTTCTTAAAACTACAAAAAAGAACCATGATCCTAAAATTCAATTTCATAATTTGATTAATTTTTGTTTTTTGGTTGATATTCTTATGATATTCTCAACTCTTCTTCACCTCATCCTCTTGAGATTATGACAACGTCGTCGTCAACCTTAAATTTCTTGCACCATTTCATTAATTGGAGTCAGTATTTGGTCAACTTGATTTGGCAGTACTCTGAGTAATGGTCCTCCAAATAACCCAAAAACAAGTGAAAGTACTTCTACTTTGACTCATATCAGCAGTTACTATTGCTGGCTTAACAGTGCATGATGCGTAAGGCTGCTTCGAAAGATATAGCTATTGCAGATGTGAGGCTAAAGCATAAAGCAGGTGGCAAGATTGGTCCTTTCAGAAGATATGGTGATGGGGGATTCGGTTTTCCCTCTGGTGCCTTCATCCTGGTCTCCCTTCTTTTTTAAATATTACAGCGCAGGCAAAGGAGCCTGAGAAAAAGAAAATGATAAAACAAAGTCCTTCCTGAAGCAATTTCAAGCATTCAAAAGGGACGTTAGGTAGTAACTCCAAATCCCGTGCACATTCATGTGCCTGTCATGCTAAGAGGTTTACGCATCGAACAGCTTCACGAGGTGAATATAAAAGCTGAATGTCATGGCCACACAGTATATTAAATCTCTAATAGTAGAGATAGTGTCCTTCAGTGGGTGATCCCAACCAGCGTCACGCATCAAAAGGTTGACAGCATCAAGAGAGTCAGAGTGAAGTTGTACTCTGGTTGAGTTCATCTGGGCACAAACCTCCAATCTTGCTGTGATAGCAAAAGTAGAAGGCAGATATCCCAAGTTTTTCCTAAAGCCCATAATCCAGTCACCACTCCCATTCCTGATGAGGAAAAAACTTTATGATTCCACTTCATACCGGTAGCATCAACATCAATTCTAACAGCATCTGGAGGTGGGTACCATTGAGGGTTTGGCTAGACCTCATGGGGAAAAAATTTTATGATTCCACTTCATACCGGTAGCATCTTCCAACATAAGGAATAGGCAATTATGCTTCAAGTCAGAGGAGGATTGATCCTTGTTGTCAAGGACTCGCTTGTATCTCTGGTTCCGTAAGAGCCAGCAAACAAGACTAAAAACCGTGGTTCACTGCCATCTTGTCCAACTATCTCTCCTTAACTGGTGTGAAGCATTCCAATGGAGCCAGACCTGCAAATCACTAGAGAAAAATGAATAATAAGAGTTAGTGTTGATAATAGATTTCCACACATCTCTCGCTATTGTACAATCTCTCATAATGTGTATAAAGCTCTCCTCACAACGACACTCAAGGTCAATTTGGATTATCAGATAAATCTCTCCTAGCTTTAAGTGAGTTAGTAACAATTCTCCCGTGGTTAACTTGCCACATAAATAATTTCAATTTCTCAGGGATCTTCCAACTCCAAACCTTCTTCCACTGGGAGTCAACTTGATTGTTAGCCATTTGAGTGATAAAGTTATAAGCAGCTTTGACTGAGAACAACCATCAGAACCATTTCTGCAGCACCTAACGCCTTCCCTTTGATTTGTTGGAGTGTTACAATGTTTTAGTGAGGTGGTAAGCCATGAAGGAAAGAATCTATTCCATTCTGATCTTAGAGCAACCAATCCCCGTTACAAAGTCACTAACTTTGACATTATGGCCAATTTGATACAAATTCTTGTCTGCAAGAGAGATGAGGGGCTGCTCAAAGTGATTCCTTTTATCCCATCAAAATTTAATGGTCAAACCCATTGACTTTTCCATAAATTCCCTCAATAAAAGATGGCCAAACCAACATGATAGCCCTCCACGCAATTGAAGGGCTTTTCCGAGAGGAAATCATAGGAGTCGCACCATTTTCTCGATACTTATCCCACAAACATGGATTGGTCAGTTTAAAAATAACACAAAAGTATATTTAAAAGGAAGAATTATGTTAAAATCTCATATAAGAAAGTTAATTACTACAAAATCTATTAACAATTGAACTAAGGCCATTATAATATTACCTTGTAATAATTAATTCTCTTATACGGAATCTATATGTAATTCTCCCAATTTTAAAACAAAATAAAACAAAACAAAAACCTACTGATATAAGCGCAGGAGGGAGGTACCATAAGACAAACTAGGTCTGCCGACGCCAATGTGCTGGTTGGCAAGGGACAGCAATGAGGAAGTACCTGAATGGCAATATCTGTAATGCATTTGCCACATCCCCCTTCTTCCTCCTCATTCTCCTGCTTGTTTTTTTTTTTTTTTTGGTATGGCCTCAATTTCCACATGAAAATAACATGAAAAATACTGGACTGGTGTTGAGCAGGACTTTATTTGTCATAGAAAACAAGGGTTTGCAAAGGGTATGACATACTTGGTCAGGCTTGTGTAAAACTACTAGAGTACTTGATTCAGAAATGCCTAGTGCAATAAAAATACGAAACGTTATAGTGATTACTTTGGAATGAAAAACATGAATCAATTTTTATTTTTCCCCCTCGAGTTCATGTAAGGTTAGCAATCCATTTTAGAAAATAAATAAATAAATAAAGCCTAATTGTTTCTCAAAAGTTACAGAGAAAAAAACAATTAAACATATGGTCTCAAATTAAATTAGTGGTCAGCCCATTCAAAATTAATCTAAATGACTTCTAATACATTACAAGGCTCAAATGTCAAAATAAAGTCCAATCCACATGCTACTGAACATGGATTACATGAAACAAAATTTCATATTCTCTTGCCCTCAGGATTTCTTGGCCTATCAAGCTCGAACTGATCCTTGCATCAGTTTAATCTCATGTTTCTTGTTCGCCTGCAACAAGCAAACGATCTTTCAATGGTCCCTCACCATAATACTCTCTTCATTTCCATCCTCTGGAAGATTCAATATTGAACTATCACCTGTATCAGTAGGGGAAAGATGCTTAGAGCATTAAATGTACCAGACACTTGTTCACATGAGATATCCAACATAAAAGCATCATCAATGGTTTTCTCCACCGACTGATATGAACATAGATCAGCCATTTTCAAGGATTCACTCCCACATATCAGTCTTTTTTTTACTTCCAATTAACAGGCAAAGGAATCAAATCCTGTATTCTCGGGGCGATTCAACAGTGGAATGCATAACCTTTTTGGGCGCAAACTCTATAAATGGCAAGCATTCTAATGCATACCTAAGAACCCTACCCTGAAAGTTAGCTGTTGAAGTGAGAGAACAAAATCACTTATATGTCTCATTGAGCATCCCATACTACTTAATGTAAGACTTGACATCCCATACTATAAAGTCTGCATCAATTGACCCAATAGTATGGGATGCAAAGTCTCAATCACATTCTGTCATGCTCCATATTTTTTGCCACCCCTACATTTTTATTGTACCAACGCAACATTGCAACGGATTTCAACAAGTGAAACATGGACGGTAGAGTTGATCAACATAGTAAAGTATTAAACATATATTTTGATTAAAAATTATGAAGATGGTATTGTGGAGTACGTTTTGAAGATCAGAATATATGGCTTGTTTACAAACATAAGATTTATTAAGCTTCTAAAGCGGACCTCACTCTTTCTGAATGAAGCAGTTTTGCGGATCGAATTCTGCATATCCTACATTAACAAGACATAAGCCATCAGGCGGTGCTGGAGGAGCAGTTGCACGCCGGCATGTGGCTTCCATAAGCTTCAATAAGGCGTCATCTTCTGCACCAGCAGCAGCTTCTCTTATTGAGGTTGCTACAAGCACTCGAACCATCTATCATAATATGGTCAGTCTCAACCGAGTCAATCAACAAGTGAAAAAGTATGCAAAGGCATCTTATCATGAATACAGCAAGCCATTGACATTGAACTCAATGAATCACTACTATCAGTAGAAATCCCAAAATAGAAAAGAAAAGAAAAGGATCATGAGGAGCATATAGCTTTAATTTATGCCCTTACAATTGAATTATCAGTAAATGAAGCAAAAATTTGTTGTATAAAGCTGAGCCTGAATACAGCAGGCTATCAACATTGTTCCCGAAGAATCAATAATGCTGATAGAAATCCAGGATAAAAAGAAAGGAAGGACCAACAAGAGCATAACATTTTATTTTATCTCCTTCAAATTGATTTATTATATGAAGCAAAAATTTGTTGTATAAAGCCTTGCCGCCATGTTAGCATATCTATTTGTAAATATCAAAGTTACAGCAAGGAGATCTTCTACAATGATGCTAGCTATTAATGTCCATACCAACAAATCTTGTTTTGCTTTTGCTTTTGTCAGAGAAGAGACAAGAAAAAATATATTGATATTTTCACCAAAGAATGCGCAAACACGAAGAGCTACCTTGCGTAAAAAGCGATTAGCAACCAACTCAACGCACATAACCCTTGTCTCTTTTGCATGAACCTGCACATATTAGAAGCTGCAATTATCACAAGTGAAACATCCTTTGAGGAACAACGGCAAAAGTAGACGTGGAATAACCAGAGCTTTAGATCTGCTATGTCTTTGCAATGAGAAGAGAATATGCAAATGAAAGATGCTGGCCATAAATAATATGGATCTGAAAGTAATTTTACTCATCCTGAGAGCATGAATATACAAAAGGGAGGAGTATTACTATTTATGGCTCTTCATGACACATAATGACCTAAATTTAACTTGGTAGCCCATTCTGGAATCTTCTCCCTTCCAGAACATTTCTTAGTAGAATGCCCTGCATAATTATTGGGCAAATGTCAAGCTTCCTTCAAAGAGCTTATAACAGCCATCACACATGGTGTTGCCAGATTACTCAAAGCTGTTCAAGGTGCACACTGAAGCCTAGATTTTGCTATGGGTGTCGTGTTGATGCATGAAGAACATGCCATTGCCTATGAAAGTCACAAGCTTAATGACAATGAAAGGCACCATACACTGCGAGAAGGTAATGACTGCCCTCATCTATTGCTTATGCACTTGACAACATTAAATACTTGGAAACAAGTTCGTAATCATGATAATGTTTCTACAAATCACTTCAATATATAGAAACCTAGTCTGAACCAGGCTCCATGGCAAAACTTCCCAACAGAATTTGACTACTAGTAGGAATATAAGCAGGGTAAAAGAAAATGAAGTGGTAGATATACTACGTAGAAAGGCTGAATTTGTCATCCTCACAGCCAATATGAGCGAAAGCAATTCTCCTGATAGAATCAAAGGTGTGGCAAGATAAACTAGTAAGCAATTTGATGAAGCTCTTGAAGATTTTGGAAAACAGAGAATGTTCTATACTATTTTCAGCTAAGTCTTCCTGCCTATCTGAGGGAACTTACAAAAGGAAATCTTAAAGGAGTGTCATGATTCTGGGTGGACTGATCACCCTTGTTTGGCGCCTACACTCTATTACGAGATTGTCTATGTATCATGCAAGTAAAAGTCCAACAATGTGACTAGGTGGTATTCATCCTTTGCACTATTTCTAGCAAAAGTAGTTTATTTCTTGCTTTTCCAAGTAAACAAATTCCCCCAAACAAAATTAACTAGCAGTATTTGCAGGCTCATTATTGTCCCATGCAAGAAAGGCTTTTGTGGTAAAGCAAAATCCTGAGGTTTTGTGTCACAAACTCTTTCAAATTAGAGGCCAACAACAGCTGCAGGTGGGTAGAAAAGAAAACGTGCAGAAAAACAAAAGTTCAAATTTTAAAAATAGTAGTGAAGCTTACAGTAGCACATAATCTGGTTTCCATGGCTCGAGCATGGAAAAGAAAGCACTCTGTTGGTGGACCACTGAAACAGAATGAAAATTGTTAATATCAATATGCGCTAAGAAATTCTCATCAGATACTAGGAAATATCCACGTGGGGCAGCTATGATGAAATGTTTGGTAATTAATAATCAAGACATTGGCAATTTAATTAAGCTTGAATAATTTAAACAATTCAAGTCCAAGAACCAGTTCAAACATACATATTTGTACAGCAATACTCCCAACATGTTAGTTTTAAGTTCAATTAAAAGAAACAAGGAACAGAAATCTTAAAAGGAAATTCTCCATGATCAAGTTGTTCACTCCCCAAATGGCTTTCTTTTCTGCTATCTCACTTGTTAGAAAGGATTACCAAATCTAAGCATCAAGCTGAATTTCCATCTCATCCACCCCTCGAATTTGTGCATCCAATTTAACTCTCCGAAGGAGAGTACCTCAATCAAGGAAGACGTGATGGGATAAGATAAAATTAGATTATCTTAGATATTTATAATTATTTTACTATGATGATTTAAATAAGGATATTCAAAATATCTCATAGATTAATTAGGATTTAATTGGATTTTCTTAGCATCATCTTTTTAGGATTATTTTTGATTTCGTTTTATTTATTTTCAATTTTCAATAAAATAGGATATCTAAATAAATTTAGATTATCTTTCTTATCTTGTACGATTAGATTAGGATTTGAATTATTATTTTTTTATATTTCCTAAGGATCTATAAATTTAGATTATCTTATCTTTTAAGATTAGATTATCTTTCCCTCCTTTCTCTTTCTCTCTCTTCCCCGTCACCCTCCTTGTTTCACGTCAGCTGCTCTAACTTCTTCAAACAGAATTTTTCTCCTCAAAGGATTCAATTTTTTCTGGTGCAAGGTCAACAGAGTTGCAAGTTGAGCAGCTCCTTCATTGTTGCCAGGATCCTTGATCCTTCACCGCGCCCAGGCAAACTTTGTTGCATTCACCAGAGTTGTTCAGTGTTCATCAAGCAGAAGTGTTCTGACCACAATGCTGAAAGGGGAATGCCAATACATGAAGGCAAAAAAGTGCTCATCGAGGACAGTGTTGGCTTTATATTTGCGTTGGGTAAGGTCTACTGGGGAAGACGGGTCAGGTGGAGCTATGCAAGTACTAGTAGCCATGGGTTTCAAGTTTTTGTGGATGTTTCTCAAATGGACGTGTGTCTGCATATATGTGTCCCAGGGTCATCATCATCTAGGAGATGTATACTTATTGCTGAGTTTATCTAGTAGTTAACACTTCCAAAACAAGATTGTGTAAAGTGAATCGACCTGATGTTCTAACAACCTAATCTGTTTTAACAATGAATCTGAAAATGAGACTATTTACTCTCTTACAAGATGAAAATTTTAAATCAGGATTTTTTTACATTAAAACACAACCCAATTACTCCACTGAAAGGGTTGCTATAAAAATGAAAATTTTAAAATTTCCCCCACTTGCCACCATTTAAAATTATTGAATTGACAGACCTGAAAAAGTAAGATTATATAAAATAATTTAATTTTCACTGCTTCTAACAGGTAAAATAAGAGAAAGTAAAGAAAACAAGCTGACAAGTTACTTGAGAGGACGTGACAAAAATGAGCTTTCAGCACACTGGCTATTTCATTTCAGTTGAGGTAGCAATTCAATAATTTAAGCCTTACTCATTTCTTGAAGCTTTTGTGTCACGGGCAAACATCTTGTAGGATAACAGCTTCCCTTCTAATTGTCGTAAAAGCTGATTCACCTTTCTTACACTGAAAACATAAGATTTCTTTTCACTTTTAAATTCCTTGCCAGTGGAATCATGAATATCATCAGATTCAACATTCTCACAGAACCCAGCTCCACTGCTTCGGTCCCTGTACTCACCATCAGTGAGCGGAAAAATATACAGGTAATGCCTCCATTTTGCAGAGAAGTTAGGATGAAAGATGCGCGATACCTGAAGTAAATTTCATTTGTTATCATTAGATTCAACTTTCAAAATAACAAAACAAGATTAATAAAATTGATCAAGTTTATTTTTCTTCAAAAAACAAAAGGGTTAATCATAGATGATAATGAACTGAACTTTATCTTTACATTGCAGATTGCTTACACTGCATATTACCTCAGAAACAGATATGACCCTAAGTTTTCCTGGTGCTGCATGATTGATGGCATCCTCAATATCTCTTGGTTTAACATCCTTCCTCCAAGTGTCTGTGTCAACCTCAGATCAGATATATATATATATATATATAAAGCAAAACAAAATACAAAGTGTTGGAAGACCTAAGGCCCAAGCCATCTACTCTGTGTTTCACGTATCCAATCTTTTATATCTATTATGTTGCTTTATTAATTATTTATTTTTATTCAGTTTAGATTAGATAAGAGATTATATTGTTTTTCCCTAGATTTAGATCCCCCTCAGCTTAACGCACAGTTGCCCATTTCTATATGTATTTGTTATTGCTGTTCAATAAAATATATAGAGGAAAGATCTATGTTTTGGCACAAAGAAAGCCAGAAATGAATCATCCACCAGCCCATCCCACTGCCCCTGAGAGAGAGAGGGAGGGAGGGAGGGAGGGAGGGAGAGAGGAGTTGATTTATTTAGCTCTACAGCAATTTATTTCATTTCATGGCAAACAAAAAATTACTCCAATAAATTATAAATCCATAACTTATAATATATCAGAAGTACAGACAATATCATTTATTTGATCCTACATTCATACTGTTGGTGTAAAACAGGAGCGTCATGCCCTTTACACATGCTAGGAGTGCCAGAGGAGTGACTCCTCAATGTGAGAACTAGCGATTGTGAGCTCCCAAGGTCCTTTATCACAATTTCCTTGGATTGACTATGCTAAGTGAGTGGTTAGTCTGAGATTGTGCAACAGGAAGTAGATTGCATTGATTGAGAAAGGCCGGGTACAATGTGAAGGAATGTTGTGCTTCTGGTGACCGGAGTCTGAAAATAAAGTAGAGGATCTAGTGGCCTAGATTAGAAAAGATGGCACTAGGAGAAATGTGACTGTTAGGGAATCTGAGTGTTTGGTTGATCAAGTGATGATGCTTCTTTGTACATTTGCCTCCTTTATCATATGAGTGCAGCTGCTCTCTGTTTGAATTTGTATTTTACCTGCTATGTGGTGGGAGTAACTATTCGCTCCACTCAAAAGAGGTAGGGGTTCCACACATATAGAAGGTGGTCCACGTTTTTAGGAGATAGTGGGGTCATGGCCTTGCAAGGTCTCGGTTCTTGTGAAACGCGCCATTTCACTAATCTCTAGGCATTGCTCCTTCTCAGTTTGTGGATCGGGCTCCCATTTCCTCCTCCCAATTGTGTTGGATTCGGCGTATTAATATTTAGGCCAAACACATACATAAAACTCCAGAGCTTTCTGCTTAAAAGTTTAAAGTATGGATTTCTTTCAAAACCCTTAATGCTGTCAACTGATCTTTCCTATGTCATATTGACTCCTTTTAATCTTTTTATGGGTCATAAGTTTGCCTCTCATGGCACTTGGACTCACCTCTAATAAGCATGTTGCTCAACAAAAGAACAAAGTTGAGTTGTTCAAATTACATACCATACACAGTGAAAAGGACCTCCCATCTCATTTCACTTGTGATACTTTTTCCCCCACAACACAGTAGACATAACTGAAGAAATTACTTCAATGGCGATAACAGAATTACTTAAATGTCATGCTCTCATGACCAGCAAATTTATACATGAAAACAAAAGGAAAAAAAATTATTCAACCAGACTCCATAAGAATCTCTCTTTTTCACAAAGGCCAGCTATGGTGATAAAATGTTCAAGAGATTATGACAAAACAATTCATTGACTTTTGCTTTATAGCTTAAGGCTACTTTTGAACCAACATCCCATACAGAAGTATCCATGCCATAGTACTCTTTCGCCACGATATAGAGCATTTATTACTAACTTTGACAAACAGAGTGGTCTTTAACAGCAGTGCTGAATCTGAGCTGAGAGCTTTAACTCAAGGGATAATAGAACTATGGTTAAGGCAAGTAATGGATGAAATACAAGCTAAAGTGGATGCTCCACTAAAGCTCTATTGTGACAACAAGGCTCCCATCAATATGGCTTTGAATCCTGTTCAACATGAAAGATCCAAGCATGTGGAAATAAACAGACACTTCATCACGTAGAAAGTTGAAGAAGGAACTGTTTGCCTAATCTATTTACCAACAACAGTTCAAGCTATGAATGTCTTGACAAGTTATTCAGTAGTTGCATGAGCAAGTTAGGATATTATTAGCAACTATGACCCTACTTGAGGGGGAGTGTGGTCAGGCTGACATGGGGCTGGTATGCAAAAGATTTATTATCTGACTTTCAGGGACAGATCTCTAACAGGATAGCCTTATATCTCAGTATTTATTCTATTTCCTATTTTTGTGGGATGCGATTGCTCCCAATTGTATATATTGATGTACAACTCTGAGTATTCTATCGAGAGTTTCTGATCCACATTACAACACCTACAAAATTATGGCGTGACAATGAGCAGGCCATTAAAATGGCTAGAAATCCTGTACATCACAACAGGACAAAGCATGTTGAAATTGACAGGCATTTCATCAGGGAAAAGATTGAAGAAGGTACAAACGATTTGTCTTATATCAGGTCTAAAGATCAAGCTGCAGATGTGTTTACAAAACCACTAACAAGAAACTCATCTCAAGAACTGACAGGCAAGCTGGGAATGATCAATATCTATTCTCCAACTTGAGGGAGAGCATTGGAGGCCCAAAGGCCCAGACCCATTGTACTGTGTTTCACTAATCTATTATTATTATTGGTATCTTTTCTGCTGCTATTTTATTTCAGCCCTTATCTTTATCCTATGATAATTAGATTAAATGCAAGATTTACCCTAGATTTATCTCTGTTCGCTATACCCATTCACTGGACAAGCAATATATGTATTCGCCTACTTTCAATAAACACAGCAATATCATCTGTGTTCTGCTCAGAGTCCAACAGAAGCTAGGGAACGTACCAAGGTATTTAGTTTTGGAGTTTCTGTTAATGAATTCTCTAGTAATGACAACCAGTTTCACATTTTCTTTGTGCCAAGAGGTTTGTTAAATATTATGATAAATATCCATGGACCTTCCAGTAATAGCTTAAGCTTTAGAATTCAAATGGTCATGGACAAAAGGAATCCAACCAAATCCCACTTGACTAAGGCAGAAAGCACCTCTCTGGTTGCAACAAAATAAGCAATGTCACCTCAAAGTGTTTTCTATAGATAAATTTGTTAGGTATCTTCACATTTGAATTTTGAAGTCACAAATTTTCAAATGAAAATTATAAGATTTGTTCTTGGGAATTGTCAAACAGGAAGTAAATAGTGAACAAATCATGCGACGCTCCCTACAAAAAGTTTATAAATCCAGCTCTGTCTTCTTATTATGCAGGTTGAATAGCAATTTATTAATGGATAGGTTTACACAGCAAACAAATTTCTAAGAAGAGGGGAATGACTTACAAAAAGAACAAACTTGCCAAAGGCCTGTCACACCTTTGTCTGTACGCCCAGCCACAACAGCACAGCCTTCAACGGGCAAACCTTTATCCTTAAGCAGTTGCGCTTTCCTTTCATCAACAAATTCCCCAAGTGATCCCTCTACCATGCTGCATCAAAATATAAGTAATGAATTTTGTCATGAACCTAATAATTGAATACACGCCTACAAAACTTTTTTTTTTTTATTGGAATTGTGAATGCCACCCACTGGCCATATCTTAATTTTGCAAAAAAAATTAAAAAAACAGAAAAAAGTAAAAGAAAACTCATTCAACCATCAGAAAGAAATAAGTTGGATCCTAGAAAAATAATTATTGCTTTCTAAGATGCACAGAATTCCTCACAAACAGCATAACTATAAGCAATAAATTTTGTCATAAACCTAATAATCAAGCGCACACCTACAAAGCTAAATTTTAATTGGATATGAGAATGCCACCAACTGGTCATTTGACTTTGCAAGAAGCAAGATCCTGAAAAATGTTGCTTTCTAAGATACACAGAATGTTTTGCAAACAGCATAAGAGCTTGCCTTTGGACAGTCTTCAATCCTGGTTGCTTTTGCCACCCATCAAAAGAGCCCCCATGATATGAAAGAACAATTTTGAATGTTTTTCTTGCCCACCTCCCAAAGCGATCTTCAGATGCAGAACTTTCCAGCTTAGTTTCATCAGAAAGTTTGGGTATTTGAGTATCATTTTGATCATTAATTATCTGTTAACAAGTCAAGAAGATTGATCAACTTTCAAATAGAAGATCATAGCCCTACTGATCAATAAATGCAAGCATTTCAGATGGAGAACTTTCCAAATTAGTTTCATTAGAAAATGCCAGGATCTCTTTTATTTTTATTTTGAAAAGCATTCTCAAATCTCCTTTTTCTTAGTTTGATTGTTTAATTGTATGGCTAACCTAATCTTATAACTGTATATAAGAACGAGTAAGATCCATGTAATAATATTTTAAAAAAGAAAAGAACAGAAAAAAGAACAAAGCACTGCCCCATATAACCCAAAATGTTTAGGACTACAGGTTGAACCTGCTCAAAAGTCTGCTTGCAACAATAGTATGGAGGTTTTGTGGTTGCACAAGAACACAGCACGCATAATACTCTTCATTTACTATTATCAGAAACCTGAATGCTGCCAACTGAATGCAAATTATAAAGCAGTCTTTTTTCAAATCATTCAATTTACCCCAATTAAAAGTTATTGAATGAAAATGAAATTTGTTTCATAAACCCTTTATGCAATGTACATGGAAGCAAATCAGACTCAGAGACCATAGTTCAAGAAGCAAGGATAAGCCTGTACTCCAGAAACACAAACACAACGAAAAGGTAAAGACATATGTCCTCCGCCCCAACAAGGAAAGGTGAGACCGTGATAGGCAAGAAACCTCCACCATTTCCCCAATAAACCTGTATTTCTATTAGGCCTTTCACCAGTTTACAAGACATCAACTTGACATTGGTCGTTCACGCGCATTATTATCTAGATAGAGATTAAATGCCAGTAAAAGTATCATATTCGATCCATTTTTCACAGAATGATGTATACGAACTATGAATGAAAGTAGAAACAATATTGGAAAACGAGCATAATATACCTTCATAAAACAACCCACTTCAGATCCAAACAGAGCTGATAAAGACGAGCTCCCTTGAACAACATGCAAATAAAAATCATTGATTCGTTGCCAAGGCCTTGCATACATAAATTGGTAGCTTTCCCTGTAAAATCCAAATATAGCCATCACTTTAAAGAAGTTAAAAAAGCAAGCCATCAAATTAATATGTTACCTAGCAGTCCATCTCGTGTATTGGCAAGGATTAGTATGGTTATAATGCACATAATCTTGATTTTGCGGATGGTTCCCCATAGAAGTCAAATGCAAATGACCTAGATGGAGACGGTTAGAGGCCTGCACGGTAATCGAACTTTGAGATTGCTGTGAGAGAAATTTCTGTAAGCCAATGAATAATCCATCATTTCTAATAGTCATCCAAATTGCAAAGTGAGCCCTGCCTGCTCGGCAGAATGAAATGCTCTGCTAAATTGACCCAAAAAATTCTTTAGATAACGGAAAGGCATCACTTATCAGACCCCATTTAACTCAAAGAACCCTTTTGATCCAGCCTTCCAAACAGTACACTGATGAAAGAACAGACAACAGAACTAAAAACCAGAGAAGATAAAATCCACCCTTCCAGCCAAACAAAGTTGGCAGAGCAAGCGTCCTTCTAAGTGTTCCGGCTACTTCCCTCGCTCCGGCATCTCCAGGTTCCGATGAATGGGTTCTCACAACTCCAGTTTTTTTTTTTTTTGGCTAAAAAGATAAGAACTATGACCTTCTATTCGCGGGAGATGAATATAGAGATGGCTTTAGATGCATATACTTGTCATGTAGACGTGTTAGGGGATAACGAATTTGTGCACAGTCTACCAGCGGCGAGCAAGGCGGCAGCAACAAATCAACAACCCACCAATGTTAAAAGGGTTAGAGGGGACTGCCGAGCAACTTTTTCCGTTGAGGTTAACCGGTTAAAAAAAATAATAATAATAACAATAATAATTAGTGATACGTGGCTTGTATCTAGAGCGCACATTATTTTTTAGAGTACAAGGTTATAGGAAAATGGTACAAAAAAGATTAATGTCTCATTATATCAAAAGCCATAAGACTTATACATTGAGGGAGCGGATTGTCAAAAATAAAAATATTAAAATCTTTATGAGATGTCATGTGGGCTAAAAAAATCAGTGCAATTGTTAGTTTTTTTGTAGGCATCATCAAAAGTAACTAACCAATCTCCATGATTAGATCTTTGATGCTTTTGATAATCACCGAAAGGGGATGTGAATTGTAGTAGTTATTATTTATGAGCAATAATGCCTCCATAAAATCAAAGTAGATGTTAATTCTTGAAAGATTCTCATTCCAGAAAAGGTTGAGGCCTTCTAAAATTCTCAAGAGCTCAGCCATTGTGCTGGAGTTGTAGCCAAGATACTTGAAAAATCCTTTAATTCAGTTTCCCTTATCATCTCAAATGATGCCTCCGCAGGTAGCAGCACCATTAGTATTAATTGAACCATCAACGTCGAGTTTAAACTAGCCAAGTTCTGAAAGACTCCATTTAGCTTTATATTTATTATCATATTTGTTCAGTTGGTTGATCTTAGATTGAATCTTTAGATTGTTCATTATCTATTATGTGCAGGAAAAGGCAATGTCACTTTCCAGAAAATCATCTTTAAAGTATATTTTTTTACATCTGGCTTTTCATATATTCCAGCAAGCTTGTGCAAATAATCTCCACCAAGGGATTCTTCTTGTGATCAAACAGCTTACTTTATTCTTAGCATTCCAAATTATTCAATCCTGCACACCACAAGAGAAAAAGATATTAAGTTTTGTGGGATTCACTAATCTTTTCCAAACCTATTAAGCTTCCTTGCAATCACACAAAATATGAATGGAAGAGTCAATAGAGTTTCAACCCAGGGGACATCGATGATTCCAAGTAGCTTTGCAAAGGAAGTATTTAATTTTCTCATAGATGGGCCACTTTTAAATTTTGGACCATATATTAGAATGGTTTTGATTTTTGTGGGTCTCTAAAGCTTTATAAGCATATTTGATAGAGAAGTTGCCCTCAAAGGATGCTTTCTAGATGAGTACATCTTCGTCACCTGTTGATTTGGAAGTTGAACAAGCGCAATTTGTCTAAGCATATCAGCATAGAGGACACATTTTAAATAAAGACAAATTGAAGCTAACTGGTGTCCTCTGAAAGCAGGGTGGGTCAGACTCGATATAGACAGTTCTATTAACTTTTTTGGGGTGGCAGCTTGTGGTGGAGTCATTTGCAATGAGAAAGGAAATTGAATTATGGGATTTTCAAAATATCTTGACTATGTCCCTGATACTGCAGCTAAATTACTAGGCATTTTAGAAGATCTTCAGCTTTGTTGAAATGCTAAACTCACAAATATTAATTTACACACTAATTTCATAAAAGCCCTTTCACTAATGCAATATAAATTCTTTGATAGTCATCCCCTAGTGATAAACATCAAGAAAATCAAAAAGTTTGTTATAAAAGAATGAACAGTCACGTTTGATCATATCTTCAAAAAAGCAAAAAAAATGTGTTGATATGCTCACATGCAAAATTCCTCATAACAATTCCAGTTTCATTATTTATAATGAACCACCTATAGGATGCAGAATCATCTTGGATCCTAATATGACTTAACTTTTGTATCTTGTACATGGTTTTTACCATGCTTTTATATTTAAAAAAAAGCATAACAAGGTATAAATATTTTGGGATGTGTTTGGTAACCCAATTTTGACTTTTAGAAAGTATTTTTTAACATTCAAGGTGTGAAATATTGTTTAAAAAAAATAAGGAGATGAAAGTACATCTTAAAAGTATTTTGAGAATGTTATTAAAAGTAAACTTGGTAAAGGTAAAATTGTGAAACTTTTAAAAAGTGAATTTAAAAAGTGAAATATTATTTCATGCTATCCCAAATTTAATATCTTATTTTTTTATTTAAAAAATAGTTAATTCATTAAAAAATATAATTATCATTTAAATAATAATAAATAAATATCAAGTTTTTAGCATTATAAATTGAATAATTAATTATGTTATTTTTTAGCATTAATGTATAATAAAAATTACAAATCTTTGTCACAGATTTTAAAATTACAAATTTAAAAGATACAAATAATTATAGATCAATTTTTTAGCATTATATATCAAATTTTATGTTTTAAAATCTTTATCACATTTTTTAAATATTTCAAATGTATTACATTTGTATAAAATTATAAATAATTATAAATCAATGTACTTTTTTATAATTGTCCATTCAAAAATACGTTTTACTATTATAATTTAAACAACTTTTATTTTATTTTTATTTTATCAAACTAACTTTTGAAAAAATGTGTCCAAATACAAATTTTATTATAACAACTGATTTTTGCTAAACTGACTTTTACTAAATGAACTTTCAAAAAATGAACTCTTGGTAAATTGAAAATCAAACACACGTCATAAACTTTTTCCCCAAGGAGATCTTCATTAATGCTATGTTTGGATACATATGTCTTTAAATTTAAATTTACGCCAAATCTATTATTTAAATAATTAAAAAGGTATATCCAAATTCAAATCCAAATCCTACCTCAACCTCTTTATAATTCAAAATGTGTTCTAAACTTCTATTATTTTAAATCTTACTTTCAATCTCTTTGTAATTTTTTGGCTCACAGTTGACACCAATTGGGATTGGATTGCCAGTTGTGACCAAGATTAGGCTATTGTAGCCACTTGGGATCAGATCATCGACGATTTGGTCCCAGTTGCAGGTGGTTGGCTAGTCCTGTCTTCATGGAAATTGGTTGATCAGTCACGATCAATGCCAAAGGTCCAATTCTAGTGGAAGTCAACTGTCTAAACTGTCAATTTTAATTAGGACCAGATCACCAATGTTGTTTGAGTTACTTTTAATTTCAAATATAGAATTAAAAATTTTATTTAAGATCTAAATAAAGGATTTTAATATTATAATTTGAAATTTTTTATATCATTCTATTAAGAAATTTAAAATTTATGAATTTCAAAATTCAAATTCTTAACCCAAATTCATCCATCCAAACGCAACATAAAATATATAATTTTTCTAGGAGCTTCCTGCCTAAAGTATATAATGGTATATGACACCCATTAATTTTATAAAATAGGTCAACATTCTCTAATTTATTAAGTTTTATTTTTTAAAATTTTACTGTTAATGTTAAATTATTTTAACGGATTGAGAAAAGTTAAAGCAAGTAATTGAGTCTAACTTGATGAGCCAACCTAAAACTTTTTAGCACCAGGTTTGGGAGTTCAAAAATCTATGCCAAAACCCAAACTTGAAGGGGATATAGCCTGAAAATCCAAACTCCTTTTATTATTAATAAAATTAAATTAAATTATATAAAAATTGAAATAATTAATTTTTAAAGATAAAAAATAAAATTGATTAAAAAATAAAATAGTATTTAATAATTTGGATAACAAGCCTAGATGAATCCAAAAACCCAAATTGTCATGATCAGACTTATGTGGCCTCTTTTGAGAATATGACCCAAGGTTACTTTCTACGGTTTAATCATAAAGCAAGTGTATTTAATTGTTTACTGTATGGAATCCAATTTCTTATAATGTTTTCCTTGACGTCTCCTGACAAGTTTGTCTTTTTACTTTGTTTTTAAATTTTCTGCTTTTATTTTTTATTTTCTTTTTTTAACCGTGTTGGAATTATTTGTCATTTTATACAAGAAATAGCTTTTGGATTTGGAATGGATTAGTGTTGCTTCCTCTCCTCCACCGTGATGTTAAAAATGGGTTTGTGTTTTGAATTTGATTGTGCGAGGTTGGGTGTTTTGTTTTTGTTTTTGTTTTTATTTTTTTTTTGAAGAGGCAATGTTATCAAAAAATTTCATAACTTGGGCTATTAATATCTAAAATTTTGTACTTCTAGAGAACTTATCCTAGTTCCATGGGCCTAATCAAAGAACCCAATTCTATCAAATTTGATGGAAGTGGGTTCTAGCATATCAAATGGTTCATTCTTTAAATTTCACTTCTACTTCCATTTCTCTGACTTCATCATTTCCAATGTATCAAATGGGACATTTGTTCTTTTGGAACAAGGAACAACTATAAGGTTTATTTACATTTTTCATTGCTCTTCACGTAGATCTCTCACTTGTTAGTCATCACTAGGGGTGTACATGAATAGGGGTGCACATGAATAGGGCTAGGCAAGGTAGGACCTTGGGACCTTGCCTAATGCTTAGCTCGGAGGATGCCCTGTCCAAAAAATGCTCTATTAGTTTGGGTAAGGTAGGGCAGGCTAGACAATTTTAGGCCACCTTACCTCTCAAATAACAACCATGCCTAATTGTCCATCAATTCAAAATAAAACTATTGTAAATAATCAACAATAACCCTGCCCCATCAACTCAAAATAACATCCATAAGGGCATAAATCATAAAGCCATGATAACATCTACGACATTCAATTATCCATGAGTCAACATCTAACTTGAAATATAAAACTACCACAACTCTTAGTACAACATCAAATTATCCATAACAGCTAATCCATTAAAAACAAATTTCACAAAAGCTTAGAGCATCATGAAAAATAAAAATTTCATAGAGCAGACTCCAATTCACAAAAGGCTTCTTCCCAATTCCCATCCTGCAAGAATGAAAGAAGAAAAATATGTCATCATTGAATAGAAAATTTGCAAGAACATACATGAAAATTTGAAGGAAAAAGAAGGGAACCAAAAAATGATAGAATTAAAAACAATGATATATAAGATTGTAGAAAAATTAGCACGAAAATATAAAAAAGTCAGCAAGAAATTAAATAAAATGAAATATATAAGTTTGTGAAAAAAAATTAGTAAAAAAATAACAAAGCAATAGAGAA